TGCGCGCAGACACACACACACACACACACACACGCACTCTCACACACACACATGCACACGCACACAGAAAACCCCACCAGCTGCTTGTGTAAACGACTTTACTTACTTACTTTCATTAAAGAGAGAGAGGGCAGCAGACTGAAGACATTGAAGAGGACGAAAGAGAGACGCAGACATACGCAGACATTACTTCAAAGATGTGCTCAACAGGATTGAGGGTTTACTCAGCGTCAAAACAGAAAACTAAACTAAGTGGAGCTGTTAGACATACTCAGATAAAACAAACACTGAGCTGTTTCCAGACACAAGATACAGATACTGTACAATATCCAAGACACTGGAGAGCTAAGAGCTGGAATCAGGATGTTGGAGCTTAGTTTAGAGTTAGCTTAGCATAAAGACTGGAAGCAGGGGGAAACAGCTAGCTGCCTCTAAAGCTCGCAAATTAACTCATTCATTTAAAAGGTCAGTGTGTGCGATATACGGGCATCTATTGTCAGAAATGGAATATAATATTCAGAGCTATGTTTTCATTAAAATAAGAAGTGTTGTGTTTTTGTTACCTTGAAATGAGCCGTTTTATCTACAGAGCGGGTCCTCTTCAATGAAGTTATGGTTCATCATGTGAAACCTCACTGTTTCTTACAGTTTTCCTTCATGTGTCGCTTGGAGTCACGTTGAATGCCACTAAAACCTACACACTGTCCTGTTCAGTGCCGCCATCGGGGGCGCCTGTACAGATACGTTGAAAACCAAGAGCCAGCCAATGAGAGGAAGATCAACCCAGTACTCCACAAAGCAATAGATGACGTCACGATTCACACTTGTAAAGCCCCATTAAAACCATGTGTAACTCGGATTATTTAGCTTGAGACATTGGTGACCTTAGTGTGAGTATTAGCATGACAAGATACAAAAGAGGAAAAAGCAATTTGACGCCTCAGTTTAGACAAACTGGACCACATTAAACTGGAGAGACACAGACAGTAAAAGTGTGATTAACAGACAAAAAGAAAGAATCCATCCTCTCGCAATATGGCACTCTGAGACGTCATTTGTATGTTCTTCTTTAAAAGCACTCGTGCTCTCAGAGTCGTCAAAACTCCATTAGTCTTAATGAGCTGTCGGCTCATTAGGCCGTCAGCAGCGGAGAGGAGAAACACTCCAGAGACAGAACCGGCTCGTTTGTATTCAGCTGCAGATCTGAGCTGAACACCAGGTGGTAACATGTTGCCACAAACCCCATGATGCACTGCTGCTGCATCCACAGGAGGGACAGTTTGGGCCAGGGTAGAAGACAGAGGGCTGAGTGAATGTTACAGAACATTTCAGCCAGTTTTTGTTGTTCTGAAAGCTTTTCACTGATCAACACAAAATGTATCAAAAATCATTCCGATTATATGTTGTTTATCAACCCACAATGCTTTAAATATTGTGTGATTAGAGCCAGATGTAAGGATTTGCTGCTTTTGCTTGTTTTATATCACACTGAATTGAATATCTTTGGGCTACTTTCATATGATACCAGAAGAGGGAAAATGCTCTCTCTTGTGGAAAGCACAAACGTTAGGATAATATTAATTATTTCCGCCCCCACGTTAGTTATTTAAGAAACCCCCA